ACATTAAGATAAGAATGCTGAAAGAAAGAAGTGTTAGAGCTTGTTAGCAACCCCAGACACTCCCTGTCATCAGTCGCATATGCTGGATCCTGCTTTTGTTGCTGGGGAGTGCCTTCCATACCTACTCTCCTCGCTTCCAGCTCAGACCTCCTTCAGAGGAAGCCAGCAGATGTCTGCAGCATGGCTGCTTTATCTGACCTTCTAGGATCTAGGGACAGCACCCAAGTGCCTGGAAAACTGACCATGGACTCTGCCTTGCTGTGACCTAGAGCTGCTCTTCTTGCAGCCTGCAGGATATCATGTGCCTTCTTGGTCCCTGTTCCTCCCTGGAGTATCAGGTGTCTTTCCTGAAACCTTCCTATGCCTGAGTCAGAGGGAGAGCCTATTTCCTGGATTCTAAGTTTCAATTTTCACGAAGCCTAAAGTCCTATGACTGATGATCAAATCACTGGAGATAATTACAACTTCATTCATCTTTAAGGATTATCTGTCTGTCTGTCTGTCTATATATCTGTCCATCTATCCTCAGATCGCTGCCCTCATTTGATCTCCACAGCAATCCTGTAGGTAGATCTGATCTCTAATTTTCAAATGACAGTAAAATACTTGTATGAAGATTTGGTTTTCTAAGTACTTGCCTCTATGTTATTTCATTGCGGTCCCCTGACAACTCTCATATAGGAAAGAAAGGTTTTATTAACCCAGATATACCAATGAGGGTATTGGAGAGGCAACTGTGGAATAGTGGGCCTTTGAAATAAGAACATGTGGGTTTGACTCACATAGATTCTTTTTTTGTTTTTTGGTTTCTGGTTTTTGGTAGAGACAAGGTTTCGTCATGTTGCCCAGACTAGTCTTGAACTCCTGGGCTCAAGCAGTCCACCTGTCTTAGCCTCCCAAGGTGCTGAAATTACAGGCATGAGTCACCGTGCCCAGCATCACATGGATTCTTTACACATATTTCCTCAGGTGTAAATGGGGTTAATAATGTCTATATCAGGCTGGGCACAGTGGCACATGCCTATAATCCCAACACTTTGGGAGCCAAGGTAGGAGGATTGCTTGAGTTCAGGAGTTCAAGTCCGACCTGGGCAACATAGTGAGACCTCATCTCTACAAAAAATAAACAAAATTAGCCAAGTATGCTGACACACACCTGTGGGCCCAGCTACTTGGGAGGCTGAAGTGGGAGGATCATTTGAGTCCCAGAGGTCAAGGCTGCAGTGAGCTGTGATCCTGCCACTGCACTCCAGCCTGGGTGTCAGAACAAGACCTTGTCTCCTAAATAATAATATCTATATCATGTCATACTGGATTTCTGTTAGGATTAAATGTTTATCATTTAGAAGAGTTTCAAGAAGTAATATTCCAATGATTTCCTATTTCTTGACCTGTTCTATCACTTAAAATACTTTTTACTTTGAAAATGTTTTATGGAAAAGGAGAGAATAATATAATGAAATTTATGTATCCATCATCCTTGTCAATAATTATCAATATAAGGCCAATCTTGTTTCAGCTATGCCCCCACCCACTCCCCCTTTTCTTTTGTTAAACAGTTTTCTACGTAGTGAGGTATTTCCCTGACATCCTTCAAATGTGACTAATGGCTTATTTAGGATTATTTTAAAATATTATTGGGAATTCATAGACTTAAACACATTGGCTATATTTCTCCCTGTTGCAGTTATTATCCATATTGATACTCAGCTTGACCACAGAAACCTTATTCTGCTTGGTTTCTGAGTCCTTTTGACATGACCCTCGTAGTCTTTAACACTCTGTTTGCTTTTTTGGCATGACAGGATATTCTAGGCTTATCTTGTATGTTTGCCGCATCAAATTTGGAGTCAGTCATTTCTCTGAGGAGGCCCAACTCCTTCTCAGGGAATGGTATTTAGAATTCATAATCTGATTGTTAGAGGTGCTCATTCCTACTAGGATGGTCATTGTTTCTAGGCCTTACAGTGAACAGAGCTAGGAAACATGCATGCACACATGTGTGTGATTAACCTAAAACATGAAGGGCATACTGATACCCCCAGTTCACAATCAAAACTACAGAATTTTTACCCAATCTCCTCAATCTTACATTTGTATCTCCTTTCAGCCAGCAAATCTTGTTTCCAATCAACATCAACAGTATTACTCATTTGATTTATTCCACAATGGACATATAATAATATTATAGTACCATCAATAATATGATTATTTAATATAATTATTTAAAACAGTTTAGAATTTCTTGTGGGGCACAGGGCAGTCCCTTTTATCTTTAGGGTACATCTATCTAAGGCAAGCTTGTCCAACCCACAGGCCACATGCAGTCCAGGATGACTTTGAATGTGGCCCAACACAAATTTATAAACTTTCTGAAAACATAATGAGACTTTTTTGCAATTGCTTAAACTCCTTTTAGTGTTAGTGTATTCTGTGTGTGGCCCCAAGACAATTCTTCTTCCAGTGTGGCCCAGGGAAGCCAAAAGATTGGACACCCTGATAAGGATACACAGTCAAATTACTATTGTTTTAATCTATGTGTAGTGTGCCAACCAACTTAACTCAAAGGTTCATTTCTTTCATTTTATTTTCATCTTTATGTAATTCTTTGAAACTTTTTTTTTTTTTTTTTTTTTTTTTTTGAGATAGTGTCTTGCTCTGTCACCCAGGCTGGAGTACAGTGGCGCAATCTTAGCTCACTGCAACCTCCACCTCCCAGATTCAAGAGATTCTCATACCTCAGCCTCCCAAGCAGATGGAATTACAGGTGCCCTCCATAACATCCAGCTAATTTTTGTAAAGTTTAGTAGAGACAGGGTTTCACCATGTTGGTCAGGCTGGTCTTGAACTCCTGATCTCAAGTGATCTGCCAAACTCGGCCTCCCAAAGTGCTGGGATTACAGGTGTGAGCCACCGTGCCCAGCCTCTTTGAAACTTTTTAATTATATCTTGTAATTATTTCAAATATTTACATATTCCAAAGCAAATCCATGTAACAAGGTTTAATAAAGCCCAGCTTCTGTCTGTCCCTGCACTTCATGTCTCCCTCTCCCTGCAGGTCATTTTTTTTTTTTTTTTTTTTTGAGACGGAGTCTTGCTCTGTCGCCCAGGCTGGAGTGCAATGGCATGATCTTGGGTCACTGCAATCTCTGCCTCCTGAATTCAAGCTATTCTCACGCCTCAGCCTCCTGCGTAGCTGGGATTACAGGTGTGAGCCACCACGCCCAGCTAATTTTTTGTATTTGGGTGGAGACGGGGTTTCACCGTGTTGCCTGGGGTGGTTTCCAACTCCTGAGGCCAGGCAATCTGCCTGCCTCAGCCTCCCAGAGTGCTGGGATTACAGGCCTGAGCCACCACACCTGGCTCCTGGAGGTCTTTTTTTTTTTTTTTTTTTTTTTTGAGACAGAGTTTAGCTCTTGTTACCCAGGCTGGAGTGCAATGGCGTGATCTCGGCTCACCGCAACCTCCGGTTCCTGGGGTTCAAGCAATTCTCCTGCCTCAGCCTCCCGAGTAGCTGGGACTACAGGCGCATGCCACCATGCCCAGCTAACTTTTGTATTTTTAGTAGAGACGGGGTTTCACCATATTGACCAGGATGGTCTCGATCTGTTGACCTCGTGATCCACCCGCCTTGGCCTCCCAAAGTGCTGATATTACAGCCCCTGTAGGTCTTTTAAAATGTATTTTATGCTTTATCATTTTATTGTCTTTTTAAAATATGTAAGCAAATGTATATATATTTTTGCATTCCTCCTCTGTTTCCTAAATAAATGGTAGCATATTAAACATTATTTTCTGTCATGTGCTTTTCACTTAACAAGAACCTTGGGGATTGTAGTCATATAGGGTATATTTTGAATAGATTCCTGGAATTGGGATTGTGGGGCCAAAGAGTAAATGCATACCTATTTAGGTAGCTATTGTCACATTCCCCTCTACAAGGGTGGACTATACCATTTTCTGCAGACACTTTTTTTTGGAGGAGGGGAGATGGAGTCTCGCTCTGTTGCCCAGGCTGGAGTGCAATGGCACGATCTCAATTCACTGCAACCTCTGCCTCCCAGGTTCAAGCCATTCTCCTGCCTCAGCCTTCTGAATAGCTGGGACTACAGCTGGGCACCACCACAACCAGCTAATTTTTGTATTTTTAGTAGAGACAGAGTTTCTCCATGTTGGCCATGCTGGTCTCGAACTCCTGACCTTAAGTGATCTGCCCTCCTCGTCTTCGCAAAGTGCTGGGATTACAGGCATGCGCCAACATGCCCAGCCTCCTGCAGACACATTTTAATGTTGCAACAAATGACAAAATGGAATATGTTATCTCTACCAAGAAAGGTTATATGTTGTTCAAAAGAACTGGACTTGAACTCCGCTAACTAATGGTCTGACCCACTCTGTCATGCCTTCTCCCCATGTTACAGATTCAGAAATTGAGTCACACGTAGGGAAGTGTCCTACTCTAAATGACATAACCAGGATTTAAAATTTGCATCTCCTGACCCTGAAATTGGATCCCCTTTCAATGTGTTATAGATTTATTTACAGTAAACTTGGTTTGCTTATCAGTAGACAGAGAAGAAAAACATGGTAGTTCTCCTAGGAAGCTAAAAAATTAAGGAGATGATTATGAGTAAGTTCTCCCCTGGTGTAACAGAGATTCTTCGAGATATAGCTTTAGTTCTTGCGGTGAATAGGGAATCAGCAATTAGACTATGGTGTCAGGGCACTAAGAAATGATCACGGATGAGAGAGCCAATCACCTTGGCAGGGTCTGTCCTGTTTTCTCTTTTTTGGTTTTGTTTTGTTTTATTTTTTGCAGAATGCTTTGAACTTCTTTGAACAAAGATGCTGTTACGCTATGCAAAACTTTACAAATGGATGTAGACAGAGATGTAATTTCCCCAGTGAATGAGCAAGCTGCAAACCACAAAGCCTTTTTTTTTTTTTTTTTCCTTTCTTAGAGTAACCCTGGGGTTTTCCTTTGTGCTTGCTTGAGACAGGTTGATTGGCTTATGTGCAATTTGGGACACTGGAGTTTTCCTTCCTTCTGCAGCCTGGAACGGAGTCTCCTCTGGTGTTGAAAGGAGGAGGCTGAATGAGGCAAAGAAGGTAAGCAGGACTTGGGCCTGGGCGTGTGTCACTGCAGGGGTGAGGGTGGGGGGACATTCCTGCCTCTTTCGCCTTCTCTTTAAGAGAAGCCTGTTTGCCTGGCCGCAGGAATCTTCTGAGAGGCATCTCCTTTCTTCTCCCCAGAGACAGAAGCCCTGAGTTGCTGCAGAACTGCATCCCAAGGTTCTCCCTGCAAGGAGGCTGCTGAGGGTAGCGTTTGAGCCTTCTTCCCTGGCAGGGACAGTCAGCCAACATTAGCGCTGGCATTGTCCCAATGTCCACCTAATAGACAAATCGGGTGACAGCTTTGTGACCCACACCCTACTTAGTCTGGGCCTCCACAACCTGGGAGCTCCTGACTGACAGCCCTGGCATATGGGGGACAGTCCGGGAATCCCTGCCCCGGGGTGGGGCACTGGGACCTGGCAGATGGACAGTTAGTTGTCCAGGCTCAGTAAGCAGCCGAGATCCGCAGCACTGAGCCCCATCCTGTGCCCAGGGTCTGCCTTGTTCCATTCTGCGTTAGATTTTACTGCCACTCCCAGCAACTCCTGTTTTACTCTCAGGCCCCAGTGGCAGGCGAGGACGAGTGACAACCGTGGGCTGCAATTTTGACAGAGCAGTAAGGGCAATAGTGACAGACTGGCCGAGGCTGCTGGGCTGGGAGGCTCTGACCTGGAGGCCTGAGCAGGGCAAGGTTGCCTTGTTCTTTGAGTTTGGGCATCTCTGCCTCATCAAAGTTTGTCTCTCTCCCTCCAACGCCCTCTCTTGGTGTCTTTTGTCCTCCCAGAAAGAGTTGGGGCTGGAGGGGGGGCATGGAGAGGGTTGAAAAGTGGAAGCTGAGAGTGCTGATGACATGGATTTGGGATCCAGTCACATCTGCTGGAATTCCAGGTCCACTGGCTTTGTGACCTTGAGAACGCTGAACCTCTGTAGGCCTCAGTTTTCTAGTTTGTACACCTTGTGGTAAAGGTTAAAGGGTAAATATATAAACAGATAAAGAGCCCTGCATGGTGCCTGGCACATAGCAGGCGTTTAGTAAGTGAGGGTTATTATGATGTCTCGTATCAGTGGCAGTTCAGATATACTTGTTTCATCAAGGCAGTTTCTTGTGTGGGCCCTTTCAGGGCTGCCATGTATCTCAGAATAGTGTCAGGTTTCAGAAACCTCCTGGGAAATCCGTCTGACCTTAGGGTATTTTCACCCTATTGTTGTTACTAACGTGGAACTTGAACATACTGACGCATAGTGTGTGTTTTGTTGGGGGCGGCAGGGGGCTGGGGGCATGCTGTTCCTTTACTACATGTGGAGGAGTGTGATTGCAGAAGCGGTGTACCAGTATATTTAAATGGGTCCGAAGTATATGTGAAACTGGACGGGGACAGAATTGGGGAGTTAGGGCAGCTCTGTGTCACTAGGTCCCCACTCTTGACACTTTCCTGTGCACCCTCCCCACTCTCTATCCCTGTCCCTCCTACACATTCACTCCGGGTAGCCTGACCAGATCCCCACCTAAGGAACCCCGGGGGCTGCCTTCTCTGATGACGGCAGTCTCACTGCCCGATGACAGATGTGGCTGCCATGGAGTCGTGTCCTGCCACCTCCTGCCTGACCAGGTTAAATTCATTCTGGCTCATACTTCTAGATACTGCGAATTAACCAGCAAAATCGACTATCAGTTCTGAGCTGAATCCTTTTAATAGTGTATCCATTTACATTAATTGTATCATTTGACTGTCAACACAATTCAGTGATATGAGCAAGGCTGCTGTCATCATCCCCATTTGATTGATGAATAAACTAAGGCTCTCTGAGAAGTTATTTCCCCCAAGATTTCACAAAACTAATTAGTGAAAGAGCCCCTGCTAGACTTGGATGCCCTGAATCCTAGACTGTTTTTCTTGCTATGACATCACACTGCCTCCTCCAGTCTGAAGCACCCACAAATCATGAAGGGGCAGCGCCTATCAAAGGACTTTCAGACACACAGAGGAACCTTAAAAAAGAAATCAGAAAGGCTGCAGAGACTACTTGCCAGCAGGACACATAGTTGTTGAGAGTACGGTAAGTTCTGAAACTAGGGAAGCTGACCCAGGTTTCTCTGGATGATGATAATAGTCATCATTATAATGATCAGCATCTCAGCAATCCCTGGGCATCAGGCACTGTGCCCTGTGCTCTGCCCTCCCACAGCAGCCCCATGAGGTAGGGCCCAATGTTACCCGTGTTTGACTGATGGCAGAGAGTAAAGTACGCAGAGGTTAAGGAACTTTCTCCATCTAAGAAAGAGCCTGGATTCGAATCCTGTAGTCCAACTCTGGTACCTGTGTGGCAAGCATTTGGGTTTGGGGCTGGTGTATGTATTTAGGGTGGCTCATTCCAAGATTCTCTGGAAACACTGCCTAGCTGTTTCGGAGCAAGTGTCCCCTGGGGCTCCAGGTGTGAGCTCTGAAACCGCCTGAGGAGGAAGCCCTCCCTTTCTCTGCCTCTCCTCCCTTTGTTGGAAGCCACTGCCATCTGGAGCTGCCCCAGGCATCTGCTCCTGCGCCGCCCCTCCCTCCTCCTCCCACCCCAGCCTGCAGCACCCTCCACACTCAGGCTTCATCTCTCCCCTTCCCTCCCGACACCCCCAGTACTTCTGCTCCCTGTCAGCTCCCATCACAGGAAGCAGACACTGGCCTTCTGATGCAAGGCGGAGAAGCCACTCAGCTTCCCCAGGCCTTCAATTTCCCAAACGGATCTATTTGGTTAATTGCACTCATTCCTGAGTCCCTCTGCCTGTCAGAGAGAAGCTGGGCTTCCTCTCTCCGGAAGCATTGGCACAGGCCCCCTCGGACAGCATGGGCCCAGGACACACAGCTGTGGATCGCTGAGGGTGGGGCCGTGGAGCTTCACTAGGAACTGTCTTCCACACCTGCTGCCCGAAACCAATTCCAGGCGCCTGAGGCAGCCCCGCTGCTTAGCCCCATTTTCCCCAGGCGCCGAGAACTATAGGGTAGGTGTGAGGGACAGGGGTGTCAACGGTGAAAGCTACTGCCCCTAATAGCTCGTGCCATTTACCTCCTTTCTGCTGCAGGGATGCAATCATTTTCTAGACCCCTCTCAGCCTTTCCTTCTGCCTCGCTAAGCCCACCTTTCCACCAGAGGCTGGGCTGTGAGGTTTGAAACAGCATGACACTGTGAGTTTCTAATAAGAGGACCATATACTCTAGCAAAGGGAGGCCCTTCCAGGGCATAAGACACCAAGGTTTCCCGCACACCACTGGAGCTGAGAGTCTTTGGTATAAGCACTCGTAGCCGCCAGCGCTTTGCAACCAGACCTCTAGACAAATGGTGCATCTTATAATCAGGAAAATCCTCGTTCTGTCTGCTGCCTCCCCCTTCTTGCTCCCACCTCCCTTCCCCCACACCTGCTGTATTTTCATATCTCCTCCAGCCTGTAGAAGCCTGCCAGGATAGCAGTTGGATCCAGACTGATGTCTGTATGGGATGTAAATGCAGAAGGCTTCAGGGAGGGAGGGAAGGAACAGGTGCTGCTCCCTCCTGCTGTCTTCGTTCTTTCCTCCCTATGCTCCCGCTTATCACATCAGAAAAGAATTTTTAAAATGCGGCCGGGGATGTGCTATCCTTGGAATATCAGCAGCTAAACCAATATTGGCGGCCGAATGGATGTCACTTCAGAAGACCCAGCTCCTTCTCTGGGGCTGACTCCAGCTGTTTGGTTTGACATCAGAGCTCATGGGACATGGGTGGAAGAAGCAGGTATGGAGTGCTTTGCTTCCAGAAACCATGGCAAAGGCAGGAGAGAGGGGAACTCAGAGAGGATTTGGCTGGCCTGGGATTTTATAGGAGCCTCCCTTTCTCTCTGGTCTAAAGTAAACAATGCCTATGCAGATAACCATCTGTTGGCTCTAAGAGTAAACAGTCATTCCTTAGCTATAGAGCCAGGGCATGGTATCTGCACAGGTGTCATCTGCGCTGTAGATCTGCAAAGTAGGCTTGAAAGTCCGTCTTCTCCAAAGCCTTATCACAAAGCAGTATACCAGCTGTAACTTGGCGGGGGAGGAAAAGGACTAATCGTTTTTTGTTTGTTTTGGTTTGGTTGTTGAGATGGAGTTTCGCTCTGTCACTGCAACCCTCACCTCCCAGGTTCAAGTGATTCTCCTGCCCGAGCCTCCCATGTGCTGAGACTATAGGTGCCCGCTACCATGCCTGGCTAATTTTTGTATTTTTAGTAGAGAAGGGGTTTCATTGTGTTGACCAGGCTGGCCTTGAACTCCTGACCTCATGATCCACCTGCCTCGGCCTCCCAAAGCGCTGGGATTATAGGTGAAGAAAGGACCAATAGTTTTTGAATGCCAACTATGTGCCAGGCCTTGGATTAGATGCCATACGTGTACATTAGCTTATTCATTTAGGAATTGTCACAGCAACCTTGTAATAAATAAGTGCATTTATCCCACTTTTAAAGACAAGAAAACAGACTCAGAGAGAGAGAATAAACCGTGGAAGACCACTAAGCAGATAAATGGCTAGGTGGGATAGAAACTCAGGTGTGTGTGGCTGCAGGTCACATGTGCCAGCTGGATTAAACACGCTTCCTTGTGAGACAAATGTCTGCCTCTTTGTCTGATACGTTTCCCCTGGTCTGCACGGCTTTCTAGTAGTTTGTCATTCACCACTGTTTATCAACCCCAGCCCTATTCCGCTTTGAGCTAATACTCGCTTCTGTGAAGGGCCAAAGAAAAAGCAAAAGGCTCTTCCTTTCCCCCAAGAAGCTCATAATCTGGTTAACGGATTGAAAGTGGTCTCTTTTCCCCAACCCAGCGTTCTTCGGCTATAGTCTTGCCCCTCTTTTTTTCCCCTGCTCGAGCTCAGCCTTATAGTTAGAATCTTATAGATTTTAGCAATCACTTGTTATGGTTTTCAAATGGCTTTAGGACTATGGTCTGTTGAAACTAGACTTGCAATCCCCCAAGTCGAGGACAGAATAAGCAGTT